GGAGGAGGGGGGAAAGCAAATAAACATTAATAAAGTGTAACCTAATGTGTTTCTCTCACTAGGAGCCCCCTTTCTTCTTCACCCCACTGTGCTGATATATTACAGCGAGAATTGATGAGCTGTCAGTGCGTAAAACACCAAAAAAATATCAAGCATGATTCCAGAAAATGCCTCTAAATTTAAAGAAGTTTAAATAGCTTGAGGTTTGTTTTTAGATTATTTTTTTTTGCCAATGTGTTGAGAATAATTTAAGAACTTGTCATTAAAAACCCGCACACACACACACTCAGCACACACACAGAGAGAATAGTGGCAACTCGTAATATTATATTTTAAAATTATGGCAGTTGTTTTTTTTAAAAACACTTCTTGCAGAGGAAAGCAGGAGCTTCTCCTCCTCCTCCTCCATCCTGCTCCTGCACCGCCATCCTAACTCTTAATTTCTTCCCGATAAAGTGCATTTTAAAAAAATAATTAAGCATATTCATAGCTGGAGACTGTGATGGGCCAGTCAGAGGCAGCGCGAGGAGGAGAAGGGAGGAAAAGGAGGGGAAGGAAAGGAGGGGAGGGAGGGAGAGACATGGGAGACCTACTGACCTTTAGTGAGCAGAGATTTAGCTCGGAAAAAAGGGCCCATAGCCTACGGAGTTGCCGTCATACTATACCATCAGAGACGCATAATCACTATCTATGCTGGTGCATGTGGGCGGCAGCTGATAATGTGCCAAAAACGCTTGTACGCGCATTGGTTAAGTTTGTAAAGTTTATGCATGACAACAAGCAAAACCACCAAAGTAGCAAAAAGGCGTGTCATTCAAGCTCCAACACACACAGCAGCTCGTGTTCAAGCCTCCGGGACTCAGGTATGGAGGAGACAAATTAAGTCATAAAGGCTGATTAATAAAATTCAATGACCTGAAATGTGACTTTTCTTTTTTTTTAAATAAATAAAAGGAACAATGGTGCTGAGGCTAAACGCACAGGCTGGTGGCTCGCAGGTATCAATTCAAAGACACAGTGAAACCTGAAATATCTTCTGTCTTTCTTTTATTATTATTATTATTATTATTATTTTTGTCTTTAATGGTGCAGCTAATGTAACCAAATATCTGGCGAAGTTCGGGTCATGACCCAGTTCTGGAGCAAATCCAGAGACGCCTTGAATCCTACAAGGCGGAGAGAATATTTCTGCAAATAAAAATGAAAGCCGCCCCTCCTGTCACTGCTCAAATATGCCACAGCGCTGCTATATACATATACCGGCATATTTGCAATTACAGGGCGTTGCATTGGCTTCCTACATGTTGGTTTTTATTATTTGGATTTTTTTTATTGTGTGTCCACTAAATGACAGCAGAACGCTGAGACCTGCGCTTTGCTTTTACTGTGTGCAAATGGGACATTAGGCTTGTCTTTCTTTCTTTTTCTTTTTCTTTTTTTTTTTCTCTTCTTCTTCTATTCCCCTCCCCCTCGGAGCCTGACATCATTTATATCTGTCATTTCCTACAAACAAGACGTGGGGTATACACACAGTGATAAATGGCTGGAAAAAAAATCCAAGTGTGGAAATTCATCTGCAGGCTATTTGCTTCTCCAAAAGTGTGCTAAGAGCGAGATTTTATGATGCTTAAGGCAATTAATGTGGACTTGTGTTTATCTGGAGATTATTTTCTAATGTTTCACTCAGGCTGCACTGTCATCTGTGTCTGTTGTCAATTTAATTCTCCAAATTTTTTTATTCTTGCGTGGTCATGCCACAGTTTCCAGTCTGACCGTGTCTGATAAATCACTTGATTAATCAAGTGTTTTTTTTTATATAATTTAGTAGCCCCAGGCCTATCCAAAAGCTCTTGACCATGAAGGCAGCATGCATAGGTGAGCGTTTAAAGTAGACTGTTGTGTTAATACGAGCAATAGCCTCCAGCCAGTGCAGTTATATTTAGGTCAGCGTGGATTCAGCTGATGTCAGTGCGCAGGTTAGTGACATTCACACACACTGAACTTGAGTGTGCCAGTCTATTGTCTTACCTGTGGTGAAGAGCACAATTGCCTTTAAGCAGCTATATTCAGCAGAGTCAACGTGCAAAGCTTTCAGCTTTTCCACTTGTTCTTGGAAGATCCTAATGTGGTCCATAAAGGCCACCACTCTGTCCGCAGACATGGGGGAGGCGTGAAGGCCAGCCGCCGCCAGGAGAGGAGCCACATGCAGGGGCATGGAGCACTGCGCGGCGTTGAGCACAAATAACTCACTCCACGTCAACCTCAGCAGAGCCACCTGGTCGGTGATCTGAAGGTCTGGAAAGAAGGGAATATTCCTGGCCCACTCCACGGCACTGAAGAGCATCCTGGCTGCTAGTTCACAAATGTTCTCGATGCCCATTATGTTGTTGGGCTGCATGCACTGACTGCCATACCGGGACGTCGGGTAGGGCTCCGCTCTCAACAGAAGAGAGATATATCCGGATAAGTAGGAATGGCAGTGGAGTGGGTCTCCATTTGTCAAGGCGAACTGACCGTGGTGTGGCTGTGTGGGTGGCACCCGTCCCCTTTGCACGGCTGCAGTAAAAAGAGAAACTACAGATATTGAAGCCTGAATTCTACAAATCATCACACAGTCACTGTGAGCAGCTGAAATATTACAGAGCATTTTAAAAAACAAGCAGAGAATGTGCAGCTTTAAAATTAATAATAATAATAACAATAATAATAATAAATAACACAGCGCGTGTTTACTGTATAGGATCAAAACACACACACATACACACACATATATATATATTATAGCAGCTTTTTTTTTTCTTTTAACACAGACACGCTGCCTTGATAATAACGAGGCTGTGAGTGTGACAAATCATGTAGAGATGCGCTTTGAGACACATTGAACACAAGCCCTGCACATGTCTAGCTTTAAAATGATGTTATTCAGCAACAGCAACATGAGCTGGCTGTGAAGGAACACAAAGAGGGCAAGGGAGACCTTGCATGTTTAACCCTTAACCTACTTAGCAATTCATCTCGTTTTACCCACACATGCAGGGCCCTATTTTATCCAAATACATTCTCCCGGTTTTATTCGGGCGGAGAGGGGGGGGGATTCTTAAACGCACGATCCGAGCCCCTGCTTGGTCCAGCTTTAGCCACAGACAACAAGACAAGAGCGGGATACATGCTGGAGGTGCAGCCAGGAACACGCTATCTCTTAATTCGACACTCGCCATAATAGCGCAGGAGGCTGTTCCATCTATTCAAGCACACATGCATCTAATAGCGCCCGGGTAGCCTTGTCTAAATATAAAATACAGTATAGCCTTAGCGTATTTGTTAGAAAATAAAGAGAGAGGTGGGGGAGAAAAAAAAAGGCAGGGCGACAGAGAGAGAGAGAGAGAGAGAATGCGCTGGAGCTCGAAGGAGAGATCCGTCTCGACCAGCAGCGGCTCCATGGCGAGCTCCAGCCGCACAACCTTGGAGGGAATAATCGGGAGAGAAGGGCTACACAACAAGGGAAGGGTGATCAGAATAAAACCCCCCCACTACCTCTCCTTTTTATACATATATCGTGTCTTGGGGAGGGGGGGATAGTAGTAGACGCACAAAACACATACACGAATAGGAAAACAAAAAGTCCCAATACCTTCCCGTCTCATGCCGACTTTAAGGCATTTTTTGAGGCGGCAGTACTGACACTGATTGCGGTGGTGTTGGTCGATTGGACAATTCCTGTTGGCACGGCATGTGTAAGTGAGGTTCCGTCGTACGCTCCGTTTGAAGAAGCTCTTGCACCCCTCGCAAGTAAACTGGCCATAGTGTTTGCCACTCGATTTATCCCCACACACCACGCACTCGATGTGCTGCGGCTGCTTCTCCGACTGCTGCGTCGTCTGGTTCGTCGGCGTGGACTGTGTGTTGTTCGGGGGTCCTTGGACCGGAGTCTGAGGGGTCGGAGGGGCGACCTGAGAGGCTGTCAGATTCAACTGGCCTGGTTGAGGGGTGGGTAGAGATAGTCCTCCTTGGGTTTGCGAGGAAAGGGTGCCTTGGGTGTCAGCCACATCGTCCTGGGAGCCTCTCCACACTACCATTGCCATATCTATCAGTCAACGTAAAGAAACTTTTTGTCTGCCGTTTTTGCTGTCGCGGTGGAGAAAATGTCTCGGTGGAAAACTGTGATTAACAGCCGGACACACACACTCACACACACACACGCGCACAGAAGAGAAGGAAGAAGAGGGGGAAAAAATAGTCAAATCTAGCCTACGTTGAATCCACTCTTGGGTCTCCCGAAAAACTGTCGATTTATTGCTGTTGGAGACGTTGCCGGAGCACGTTTTTTTTTTTTCGCTCTCTCTCTCTCTCAAAACTGATGCGATGGCGAGCTGAGTCGCTGCCTTGCGCTTAAAGGCCAAGTCCAGGGGCGCTTACAGTCAGCCATCCAGCACACCCATCAATGGGAAAAGGTGGGCTAAAGACTCAAAAATAACCAGCCGAGGTAGCATGGACTGTTCAGTGGAGGATGGAGCAGGTTGGTGAGACCGTGCCCGCAGCAGCAGCAGCAGCAGCAGCAGCAGCAGCAGCAACAAAACAATCGGTGAAGCACACACTGTAGCAGCTACTATCAAGTTCCAGCGCAAAAGTCTTGGAGAAAATCACCAACTGGGCTTCTTTTTTCTTTTTTCTTTTCTTTACACACACACTCACACACGCACCGGAGAGAGGAGCGAGAGGAGGAAGAAAAAAAAAATCGCGTCTTCTTCTTCTTCCCTTTTTCTCCTTGTGAGGTATAGCGCCAGCAAAAGCGCGCAGCTGAATGTTTTCAGAGCTTGGAGAGTATGAAGACAAACTCTCTCTCCCTCCTTTTTGGAAGAGGACACGCGAGAAGAAGAAGAGGAGAGGAGAGGAGGAAAAAAAAAAAAAAAAAAA